GAGAGAAGATGTAAATTTTCCGAATATTTCTGAGTATTTCTGAAAAATATTACTATTCGTATGAAAATTATGAGAAAAATTTTCACCAGGGTATATATTTATCTTTATTTGTAACTATCTATTTCTATCTATTTTAAAGAAATTTGTAGAACGTGAATGATTTTTGCATATTTTTAAAAAATTTCAGATTGACGGCCAAAGAAAAATTCAGTTATCTGATATTGATGAGTAACGAGTCCGATTGTGCCGTAAATAATTATGTAGGAACGGAAGAATCGATTCTAGTGCCACGAGAGCAGGAATAATCCAATATGAATATGTATGAAGAAACAAACTTAGAGAACGAAGAGATATCTGCTCAACTGTATTCTATGATCTTACTATATATAACTATTTTTTCATGTTTTTGAATATCTTTTTATGTACCTGTATGATTTTTTGTAACTCTTTATGTACCTTTACATTTCTTTATACATGTATATATATATATATATATATATATATATATATATATCATTTTGTAGCTTAAAATTATATTTTCAAGCATTATAACAAAAATTATGCATAAAATGGAAGTAAATAAAATAAGAATTAAAAATATATATAATTTTGAAATTTTACACACACACACACACACACACACACACACACACACAAAAGTATATAGTTGACTATAAGGGTAGGAAATAAGAAGAATTAGCAAATAAAAATGTGTGAAAGGTATGAATGAGTTAAACGAGAATTGTAAACCAAGTCCCCTTCTTGGCATGTAAATATGCTGAAGCGAATAAATATTCTATTCTATTCTACATACATATATTATATACACACCCGATATCCTTATGCATTTTTTAATAAGGCTTTTTTTCTTTGAAATATGTTTTTAATCATCACATAAAGCCTCAGAATTTCTTAAGTCCAAAGAAATTCTAAAGCACTTATGCGTATGTGTACGCATATACGTTTAAAATTTAATATTACTATTAAAATACCAAATGTTAAATCCTTATAACTATTAAAATATAAATACACACATTCATATGCGTACATTTATATTGTATTAGATCGAACGTACAAATTAATGATCTTTAATTAAATGAAACATATTTCTTCTAGGTATCTATGGCGTGGTTTATCACATCGTCGATTGTGACCTATTCACCAGAGAGTTCCTGACGAGTCAAGGTATCGATGTCGGTGAAAAGGAAAATCTTCCTGCGGATCCTTACACTGAATGGCGTGATGCCATGTGCAGGACACCAACAGGGATCACACGAGTGGTGAGCGACGATTCCAGGCGACGCTTTCTCGAATACGATGGTATGGTGCTGACTTTTGATGCAACGTGGAGTGGAGATCGTTATCGGGTGATGTATTTCCTGACGGATGACACCGTGGCGATCCGAGAGATTCACGAACTCAATGACGGCAAGGACCCTGTGGTGATGTTGCTGAAGCGAATGCGTGTGCCTAAGAACTGGCGAAATTTGCCGTCTTGGCACCCGAGTATCTACATGGAATATGGAGATCCCGAGATCGTTGAATACTATACACCGCGAGATTTTAGAGTAAGGCTTATTTCAGCCTCATACACTTTGTTGTGGATGCAATATTGTATTTTAAATAAATAATACTGTAATTCAATGATAAAATCCTGTTTCATGTTTGATTATAAAATGCAATCTTAAAAATTATCTGAAAGGTAACTCAAGTAAAAATCCATTAACAAACGAGCTTCTCTTTTACATTTCAAGATAATGCCAAATTTGAAAATTAAATTTGTAAATTGATAAAATTAAAAATTTTAACATCGACGATTTCAAAGCGCAACACAAATAAATTCAGTAAAATATATATTTACATGTTTCTTTAGAGTAAATAAAAGCAAATGATAAACCCTATTGTTATTTTGTTTTCAGGTAGGCGAAACGATCGTCCTATTCGGACGATGCTTTCTACTGTATAACTGCGATGCTTTCACGCGCAAATATTACTCTGACATGCTAGGTACACCGCAACCGGACGCGATTCCGATCCCCACAAAAATGGAAAGGCCAGCACCGAAATACGAGATACCACCGCACATACAGTTCGGCAGTCCCGAGGATACGTACGCTAGCTGTTTGTCGTTTATACCGAAGCCACCCAAGAAGAATGTCATTCGCCAGCTGACGAACTTCCCAAAGAAGCTGCGCTACTCCGCTCGAATGGATGCGATACACCCAGAGGATGAGGGCCGTGATTTCGTGCTGGAGTATAGCCTAAGTAACGGTACCATTCAAATCATTGAGATCGAGAAGCCAAATTCTGGTCGACGTGAGGGCTGCTTCCTATCCTCCAGATTGATTCCGAAGCCGTACACAGGAAACGATAATCCAGAGTACTACACGCCGCAGGATTTTTTCATTGGCGCACGTATCAACGTGTTTAATCATCGCTTTATCATTACTGGCACTGATCTATTCGTGTATCGCTATGTTGACGCAAATCGCGACAAATTTTCCCAGAAAGTCCTGGAGAATCTGCGCAATTATTTTCTACATCAGGGTATGCTACAGGACGACATGGACGCTGAAGTTAAAAAGATACAAATGCTGGAGGATGAACAAAAACTTTTCGCGACTAATGTAGCCGCGAAAAACATCGAGGATGATATTAGTACAGGCAAATGCATGAACAAAGAATTTGATATGACTGGTTGTAAAGAATTGACAACGGCTTAATTAATTAATTAACGCATAAATGGATTTATCGGCGTTTTCAATACCGATGCTTCAACCTATAAGGTTTGCTAATAAATTTTACAAACAATTCTTTTCGTTCTTTATAAAAATAGCACTGCCTTATATACAGAGTAATTCTGAATAATGTTGAAAAAAAATTGTTCCCTTGAAACAAATTCAAATTTCTTTTTAATCGAAAGCAAAATGTCATTTCAACATCAAAATTATCAAGTTTTTGAGTTAATATAAAATCAAATAAAAAATTTATTTAAAATTGGCCTTTATTTTTAATTAAATATAAATTTTATAAAATTTAAAAATTGACTTTGAATGTAAAAAAATCTATTTAAGACAAAAAATTAATTATAAAAAAGAACATCTACTTAGTACCGTTATAATACTCAGAATCTGTTTCTACATATTGATCAAGGAATATGAATTCGTTTACATTATTCAGTATCACTCACAATATAAGGTTGCCATCATTGCAAAGAATGTTATTATCTAATGAAAAAACAGAGAACAGAGATGCGTTTAACAATAAGAATCATATCTCATGAAATGTCATCAAATGGTACAATAATAATGATCGTCGTAATCGTGTACATTACAGTAGATTAATTGTAATATTATTTCACTTTTAGTTATATTATTTTCAACTCATTTCTCTGTAGTCCATGAATAATATAATAATAGATGATATATTCGCAATACAGATATAGAATACGCGCTAAAATAAACGCCAATAATTTTCTGTATAATTCATTTTGTGAAGCATGATGGTTATAAATACAACTGAGGACGTTGTAACAAGCCCCTGCACCTTATTAACAATTAAGGGGGAATTCGACCCTTCTGTCGAGCTGCAGGCACCAGATTGAATGTTCATTGGTATTTAAAACGATATATAACCAATCCAAATGACACTTGTTTATAATATAATGTTCTTGTATAGATTTTTTCATTTTCAACAAAAGTTTAAGCATTTTACAAGGATTAGTCCACATATTACAGTTTTTTTATTTTTCTTCTATATCGCGTTTTCTTTCTTTCCCTCTTTTCCCCCTCCTTTTCCTCTTTTCTGTCTTCTGTCCTGTTTTATGATTTGTACGTTTAAGAAACACCTTTCGATGAATAGAGCACGCAACACCACACTATATATACTTTATAATCGTCAGGGAGTTAATCAAATATCCTTCGAAATAGTGCATTATCCTTCCGCTAAGGAGTTTCTCTTTCTCTTTCTCTTCTCGTCCTTTTCCTTAGAAGTTGCGGTTATATATTATTTTACGATGATGCCGACGCGATACTAGTGTTATCTGATTATCGGATTAATCATTTTAACGAAAGAACAACACGGCCGAGGTCAACAACAAATGTTCGATCACAGGAAATCAGAAGAAGCCCATCGTGGATCCGGGAAAGCAAAGATAACTTGTAGGACGTGATTATTAGTCGTAGCGTGCTTCCTTTACATCGATTACTCTCGTTAACAGCATTACATCTCTCCAGTATTAAGCGCTACTGGCGCGAACCTCCTCTACCACTACGACCACCACGCTCCTACAACAAAATAATATATAATAATCATTAAATGATCGTAAGCGAATCCTGTTTGAAGATTTCGTAGTGCAGATCGAAGAAAATTCAATAGAATCTATCTACCTTGCGCTGATGCAGATGAGGCTGATGACCATGCTGATGGTGGTCTCTGGACATATCTGAGACATGTCCTCTATTTCTATGATTAGAGGAAGAATGATGATGTTGTATAGGATTGTTTGGGGCTTTACGCTGATCCTCCTCGGCTTGCCGGCGCTCGTAATGCCCGAAGTCGTCGAAGATGCTTGTAGAATGACGATAAGTATGCAGGATGCGCAATACTGTGACACCTTTCGCATGCGGGACCTCTTGTGCGTCTCGCGAGTTGGTCACCGGTTTATTCTCATTGTTCTCAAGCTTAATGTGTCGCAGTTGCACATTAGGAACATCCTTCACGTATATCCAACGGACGCGAAACTGACCCTTCCACTTGTCCTGAGACCAGACACTACTGTTGCTCTGATAGTCAACAGGGGAGACCATCTGCGCCATGCCGCAGAAATGACCGGATCCATTTACAGAGAAGAACAAATAAAGAGGCGCACCTTCGCGACTCGCCTCCCGATAAGCCTGGTCCAGCCGTTTGTTACCATGCTCCGTGCTGCACCAAATTTCATACTTGATGGATCGATGGATGTCGTCTTCCGAGTAAGATTTGATCACGAAAAACCTCGCGCCAGGCGCGGTTTGATCAAACTCCACGGGATTGTAATCGTTCTTTACTTTCAGTTCATCGAGAACCGGATGCGACTGGTTGCCCTGGACAAGTTGTTGTTGTTGTTGTTGCTGCTGCTGCTGTTGATGCTGCTGTTGATGCTGCTGTTGCTGCACTTGCTGATGTTGTTGCTGCTGATGATGATGTTGATGTGACTGCTGATGCTGCTGCGATTGCGGCGGCATATGGATTTGCGTCTGTGACTGTGGTTGCGGGATCGGTGGGGTTGCCGTTGCGGATGGTTGTCTGTTCCAACACGGCTGTGGGGGCTGCTGCGGTCGTTGCTGCCTCTGGACGGGCGGCGGCGGCGGCGGAATCGGCGGCTGCACCTGCGGCGGCGGGAGTGCCGTAGGCGGCGGCGGTGCGGAAGACTTGCCCTCGCCCCACGTCCCGATGTCCATATTGTGCTTACCTGGCACGATAGGCGGTGGCGGCATGCCTGCCTTTTTCTTCATTCCTTGCGAGGACGAGAGTGGCGGCACCGGTTTCGCCGGCTGGCTCGCCACACTCGCCCACGTTATCTTTCTCGGTTCCTTCGGCTCGGGCTTGATCTGCTGCGCCGTAGCCTGCTGCGGATGTTGCTGATCTTGCCGTGGCAACTCACCGCCACCACTGCCACCGATCGACAGACCCTGCACGCCCTGCTCGATGGTCTTGATCTCGCCGGTACCGCTCGCCGCCGGATTGACATAGCTCTCGTTGCCGCGCGGTGGTTGATAGTAATCCTCGTACTTGGTCCTCCTTGGTGTACCCCACGTATTGAAGTCGCCGTTGCCGTGGAAGTAGTTGAACGGCGGTTGGCCGAACGCGCTGAAACCACCGCCGGCTGCCGATGCCGAGAACATGCCATCCATGCTGTATGCATCGTGGCTTATTTGACCACCGTAACCAGACAGAAAGGCGACTGGATCGGTACCGTTCGACCAAGTGCCATCACCGGCGCCGAAGGTCTGATAAGGGAACGAGGTACCGGCGTAGTACGGGCTGTACGGATCGCCGGTGCCGATCGGATAACTCGAGTGATGCTGAGCATTGTTGCCGCCCCGCCACGAGTCGAAACCAGTGTCCTCGCCAGCGGCATGCTCCGTTTGCTGTTGCTGCTGGTGTTCCTTAGGACCATTGCTCACTGTCCGAAACAGAACTGCATTTACTTAGTGTTCAAATGTATACGTAGCATACGTGATAAGACAGCAACCAAAATATTGCTTGTTTCTCAAATAGATTGTTAATATTATTAATTTCAAGACGGTTTCCAAAGTAAATATAAACTCGCATTATAGATACTAGAATAGTACTATGATTTATAGCTCTTTATTGTTACCTTACATTGAAGTTATAGATAGTAAATACAGATAGTAAATTAACAAAAGACAAGTACATCCAATATGTATAACTCGATAGTTAGTTATACAAGTTGAAAGATTTAAAAATTAAATGTAATGATAAAAAAAGGATCAACTAATTGTTGTATTCTAGAGATTCAGAGATTCATATTATATAGTGCATAAAAAGAATCTTTTAATTTCATTCTGGAGAACATTCTGCCAGGTTCAATTTCTTCATTATACAGGCAACAAGATCTATTCTTCGGCTATATCACAAACCTCACACGTTCAATGTATACACAACTACATTTCTCCGAGCATCCGAATGATTAACGTAGTATTATCCTCCAATAAAAGTTTGCTCTTCGCTGCTCTCAATTCAACTCGCGCGCTTCCTCTATGAGAACTCTAGACGACGTGTGACGACGAATAAGTAACACCGAGGAGGAAGGTCGTCAGGGTGTGAGTTTCTGGCGTAGGTTACTCACCTTGGTTGCCGGTTTGTCCTTTCATCCGCTGCATACCGTTGCATGAAAAAACATACAAAATTTAGAGAAGTGCCAACTCTCGGCAGCGTAACGGTAGCAGGGGGGAGGCAACGAGGAAGGGAGGTATGTATCAGTTGTCCTGCCGCGATAGAGCGGCAACGGCAACAGCAACGGCACGACACGGCACGACACGGCACAGCACAGCGCGGCGCGGTACGGCACAGCGCGCGGTGCAGCGCGGCGCGTATCGCGTCAACACAACACACTGACCTGGTTTGAGACAGCGCCTGCCAATCCGCTTGACATAACCTGCGACTCGCGCGGCTGCCTCGCGTGTCGTCGTCGTCGTCGGCGGCGGGCGTCGAACGACGGCGGCGGCGGTGGCGGCGGCGATTGTATCGGAAGGAGACGAGCTAGGTATCTTAGGATAGATTAGGCGATCGAATCAAAGGGTGCACCGGCTGGGACGACCGCGAACGCGATTGCATCCAGCGATCTCGTCTGCTTCTTTCTCACTCTCTCTCTCTCTCTCTCTTTCTCTCTCTCTCGCTTTCTCTCTCTCTCTCTTTCTCTTTCTCTCGTTCGCTCGCTGAATCGCGATGGAACTCGGCTGCTTCGTAGTTCGCACACCCGGGTTGTCTCACGCACGGCGTCCACGATTTCGCTCTCTCTCTCTACCGCGATTCCCGCTGTTCCTCCGCGCGCGCGCGCGCGTGCGTTCGCCCGACGTGGCCGCAGTCTCGTCGAGCGCGAACCAAGCGTGAGCAGATCGAGCCTGACCGCGCACCAAATGTCCCCGGCCCGCTCGGAAGTCTTTGACGGAGCAATTCGATGCTGCGTATCCCACCTACGGCACGACAGCCACCACGAATAACCGAAGTCTCCGGAAGGGATTCCTCGGCTTCGAGCAACAACTACGTGACGTGCACTGACCTCCTGTGTTCACTCGCAGGCGCGCCAACCCGCGCTCTCCAACGAATGTCACCAGGTCTTCCAAAGCAGACTTCGAAAAATCTGTCGTACGTCGTGAGAATCGTCTACTTTCAATTACGTGCCTTCAGCTATTCTTTTAAAAACTTGACTTATAGCCTTGTCTCGTTTTAAATGCGAAAATAATATTTATTTCAAGAATAAAAACACATCACATACATGGAGCGTGAAGTTAGCTGCAGTGATAAAGAGCCGTCTTCGGATATATCCTTCTCTTTTCTTTTAAGGCGATGTCATATATCATATCTCTCGTTGTGATATAATATATTGTATTTAAATATTTATCATAATTTTGTATTGCATTAGTATAATAGTCGTACGTTTATTTCTACCAAGGTTAACTTTAATTTTGATTTAACTCACTTTATTTTTTTCCAATTGCCGGTATTTATAATCCCGTTCTTATTTTAAGATTGTCTTAAGTATAAATATCTTAAAATGCTAATATATAGCACTGTAATTGGATTATAACATCTTAAGATTGTAGATGGATAAGAATGGATTATGAATTAGAATAACCTAAGAATTAGAATAATATAGTATATAAATATATAGTATATAAATTAAACTGAGATTAAAGTTAATCTATGTTGGTAGAAATAAACACTAATTTTATAGATAAATCCTAAACGTAGATAACAAAAAAAAGAATCTATAATAAACCTTTAAAAATTGTAAAACTGAAATTTCAATTTGTGCTATTTTTCTTCGATTATATTTTTCCGATACTTCATTTATTTTTAAGAAATAAAATTCTTGCATTTGTAATCTCAGAAATAATTTAAAACATTTTCAAAATTGCAATTCTTGGAATTTTATTTATAATTTATTAATGTTCCCTTATATCTAATCACGCTTAGCAATTTATTGATTTTTTTAAAGTATACATTTTTCACTTTTTTAGAGTTCTAGGAAATTTTAAAATTTTGGTTGGTATTATTTTTAACCTCTAATTACATTTCTATACTTATTTTTGAATTTAGCTTTAAATTATTGGAAAATTTCTCGTTATCGACAATTACCAATGATTGCAGCACAATTGATTATATGTATTTTAATTAACAATTTTTTATCAAATGTATTGTGATTACACCTAATTCCGTATGTTAAAATGGAAAAAGAGAATATGAATAATTATCAACAGCGAGATTTTTCGATAATATAAATCACCTGAATTTGAAAATAAGTATGGGAGCGTAATTAGAAGTTAAAGATAGTACCAACAAAAATTTCAAAATTTTCTTAATTTAATTTTTTAAAGGAAAATATAAAAGTCTTTTGTTCTAATAATGTAACAAAAAAAAATGTTTCACAAAATATATTAACATACACTTTTATTACAATTTTAAAAGCAATTATCTGTAAGTAATCTAAATGACAAAAGATATATGAAGTACAAAAATAAAGTTAAATATAATTTGTCACAAAGGTTTTCATGCTGACTCATAGTGTCTCATAAGTACAGAATTACTCTTAATTACATAATTTTATACAATGTACATTTGTAACGTTATAAAATTTTGGTAATAATCACTTTATTTATCTCATTAGTCACAATATTAGATAAGATTACAATTCTAACTGCTATGGCCACAGAAAATAACTATTTAGGAATAAATCATACTACTTGAATTAATGTAACAACGAATATCATTTTTATGATATATCGAAAAAAAATAAATCATTTCTAGGACTGTCATCATAATACTGAAATAAAATTGAAAAATAAAATTGAGATATATTCAATGAGATATTCATTTGATCAATTTAGTATACATGCGATGATTATCTGGTATATTCATTATATGAAAATTGACCCAGTTTATTAATTCCCCGAATGTTTTATATACATTAACAATAACATATTGTCAAATCTAACAGAGTACACACATATTCTTTAAAGTTAAGCGAGATTTACTTTTAATATGATAAGACAATCCGATCATTATACTTTTCATCTGTCTTCCTAATTATATGGTATAGAAACACTCACACGCGTATGCTATATCGTGTTCGCATCGTCGTTTATCTCCAATAACCGATTATATGAGACTGTGATAAAAAGTCTTTGGTTATACTTTCTTACAGCAAGAATGACTCAATGCTGGTTTATCATTTTTTGTTTTAAGGAAATAAATATCTCTGGCATTTTTTTTTATTCCTTTCTTCTTTTCAATTTACTTCAATTTCTGGTTAGCCAGGAGAAAGCTTTTAAAATGAAATATGCTACGGTCGCGATATACAGGAGCTTGTCTCTTTGCTGGCGATGTAGCATGTCTAATTCGAGTGCCATCACTCTGCGGTTTAATTTACCTACTTGACGACGTAAGTGCTGAACTTCTTCAGTGGGCGGCAGAGACACGTCGAGAGCATTAAAGGGTGTCTGTTCTCTGTATAAAAGGAAAACAAATAAGAAACAAAGTATTCTGCAAAAAATTCTATCCTAGTAATATCTAGAGTTCCGTACCTGACATGTCTTGTTATTTGTGTTTCTGCATTATATGTTTTAGGTACATCCACTGGTTTTGCAATTTCATTGTGATTTATAGGAGGGTCATCTTCATCCACTGCTGGGAAGTAGTGATTGTCCAGAGTCAAGATTCTCGGAGGTGTCTGTCGATAATGATAAATATTTGACAAATTATCAATTCATTTTTTAAATATAATATAATATATATTACCTGTACTCTAACTATAGCAGGCTCAGTGCGCATTACAGCATTTTCTAAAATAATCTCTGGCGGAGGTGCCTTAGTACCAACATGTTGCTCTTGTCCTGCAATGAATAATTTATACAAGCTTAGTACAAAAGAGCAAGCAAAGTAAAATAGTAAAATAGTAAAATATTTCTGTCACAAATGCAAAATATTTTAGTCATTCAAAATAAAATCTCACCGACAACAAGAATCCTCTCTGGCACATGCATTTCAAGTTTGTCCATACCAGGTTTTTGATTCCACGTAGCTCTATTTGTAATAGCAATGTCTTCGTCTGGATAATCTCCGTTTACACGAATGCTCTTGGGAACTCGCATCCGCGTGTTAATATCAGCAGGAAAGTTTGGATCATAAAAGTTGTCTGTTTCTCCGTTAAAATGCGTTGGACTGTGTGTCTTTGACATTATAACTGAAACTGTATTTTTATTATAATGGCGATTGCCATATAAACTGAAGTATAATATTATCTACAAAATAAGCTTTATGATCAGTGCTTAGACTGGTATTTATAGTCGATATTCTTATATTTAAGACCATCTTATTTAATACAATTCTAAAATATCATAGGTCAATTATAAAACCTATTAGCTTCTTAAGACATTACTGAAAACAATCTCAAAAAAAGAACCAACTGTGAAAATATCAGCCTGTGTTTTAATACACTTATTTTGATACATTGATACAAAAATCTTCATATATCAGAAAAAACATATAAAATGTGTTTTTCAAATAGTTTATAAGTTATTATAATGCATAAACAGTGAATCCTAACGTATAATAACAATAAGAAAGTCAGATTTGATCTATTCTTTGTAGCTGAATTACTTCTCTTAAAATAAAATAGATATATATATTTAGAGTTTAAAATAGAGTTAAAGATACATATATTAAAAGACATGTATTTTAAGTTATTTAAAATATATGTTTTATTAAAATATATATTTTTTGAATCCTATTTTTTGTTGCTGTACTGAATAGCACTAATAGCATTTTCTGCTAAAAAAAACTAGTGCGTAAACAAAAAACATTTGTATACACTGAGTACAAATCAATTCACATATTTTCAGTGTTAATAAATAATTTAATCCTTTTAATTGCATATATATTCTTTGTTGTCATGATAACCTTAAAAGAATTAAATTGCATTAAATTGTGTATCAGTATTGCATTAATTGTTCCAGTAGAAAATGTTATGAAACTTTGACTGTTTAACATTTGGTAAACAAGATTAAAATGATATACCAACGATGTGATTTGTGGAGAGTGCAGCTTTTCTATCTCGCTTTTAAACTTTAAATATATATCTCTTTCTATTTTAAGTATAATGAACGTATACTAGTTCAGCTACACTCTTTATTTTAAGTTGCAAAATAACAGTATTCTTTTTAAACTGATTAATTAAATGCACATTGCAATATCTCTTTGTCAATAATATATTTCACACAAGCACAATCGTCGAGATACAAAGATCAGCGTATAATCTTTCTCTTTGTTTTTTTTATCACTCACTCATCCATGACAAACATTAGATATACGGCTAGAAATCATTACCGAGGCTCGGGTTGCTCCAAAATCATCCGGGATTACATTATCATCCGCGAAGCGATCATAAATAGATGCAGATTGTTAGCAACCAAGCAATGTCGTTATGCGAGCATTTCACTGTAAAGAAAAGAATATTTACCCTCTTGCAACCCGTGGTTCGTCGAGATTAGTCAGATATAAAATCTTCTCTCTGAAGTTCGTTATAAATTTGACGGGTTAAAATTCGAGCATAGGTTATACAGCCATGTAGGACGACGTACTACGTAGAGTGGTCACGAGTGGTGCACCCTAGAGACCCTCTAGGAGAAGAGTCTGGCAAACGTTCGCCATGATGGTGCACACTGGTGTACCTAGAACACTTCATCTTTGTTATTTACCGAAAGTTAAACAAAGATAACATGAAAATTTTGTCACAATGGCTGCATCAATCAAAACTTGATTTATAATAATGAAAGGGCAATTACGTTGAGTTATGAGCAAAACTAAAAAGGACAGAAATATCTTTCTATCCTCTTTTGATACGTGCGCAGAAAGAAGAAAAGTTAGGGGCTCCACACAATAAAAGGATCAGGGAACAGAGAGAATAAGAATTTCAACCTATTAGAAACTGTATATTCTACAATATATGATTTCTGATAGGTTGAAATTCTTATTCTCTGTTCTCTGTTTCTTTTATTGTACAAAGTTCCTTACTGAGCAGGATAAAAATATACATTTTCTGTCGCCCAGTCTTGCTCACATTTTCCACTCATTGATTGGATAAGCTATTTCTGTTCCATTACTATAAGTTCTATGGCTTTGCCAGATTTTCTCTTGAAGGTTTCTAATGCATCCATTCTATTGGAGGTAAAATCGAACATGACGCGCAAAAATTATGCGTCATTTGAATTTTAATACCAATTTTTACCAGACGAATCACATTATAAAACCCAATAATATAAGACTTATATTACAAGATGAATTATTAATATAATATACATTGAATAATAGGTTTACAACATAATCGTTTATTACAATATAATTAAATCATAATTCGCATACAAAATAAAAATCTTATTGTTATAAATCAAGAATCTGTTATTTTTATACGCATAATTATAACAGTGATCTATAATATTCCCTGCGGTTTTGGAAAACTTTAATGGGCAGTAAACAAAATATAATATTTGACAATGCTTGATGATTATAATTAATAACTTATACATTAGTATAAAAATGAAACATTATATACAAAAATAATTTTGTAACGAAAAAGATTAACTCAAAATTAATTCAATAAAATTAATCTTGTATAAAAAATACTGATAACAAAATAATATGTAGATATAGATAATATATATAAATCAACAACAAATAATAACAAATATTAACAAGGTTTATTATTATTATTACTAAGTTTTATATTCTCTTAAATTGAGAAATAAATTTTATAACTTTCTCTTGCACCTATAATAATTGTTTACATAATCACATAAATATAACTGATATGAAAAAAAAAATAAAGTTTCTGATTTGACATTTTTATCATTTTGTAGTTATTTTGTCATTTTAAGAGGAAGAAATATCAAGCAATTATAATTATTATGCAAAAAATAATAACTATGGCTAACGTAAATTAGACAAAATATGATGCAAAAAAATTGCTGTGAATCTGCAATAAATTTGTTGACTAAACCTTGACTGTAATATTCTATTTTATGATTTTTGACTTGTGTAAACAATCGACTTAAACTATGTTTTTTTTCCATTTGTACTTTTTTTTGTTATATACAAAAAAATTAGTCCTAAAATTATACCAATGATAACACTTACTAATATTCTAGGCAAAGAAGATATCGATAATAAATTAGAAAATCTTTTTCTAGTTTGGTGAATTTGAGATAACCAACAGTTCTTTCTAGATTCCGCCAAAGAATTTTCCATTAATTCTTTATTTTTAGAAGAGTTTCCATACTTAGTTTGTGATACAGGTTGTATGTAAATCTGTAATGGATCAAAAATCTAAAAATGATATACCATCTGTTTAAGAGATAAGACAAGAGATAATACAAGAGTTTTTTAATTCATTTATTAATTAGTCGTATATTATATGCCAACTTTGTTCTGTAAAATCGTTTTAAATTAAGTCTGTGCACTTGCGCATAAAATATTTTCAATCGATAAATTAAAACTCTTATTTTACATCGTATTATGTAATAGTACTAATAGTATTTCACAATCAAACTTGGATATAATTTTGCAAAATATTATCAAATGTATACCTTATGAAAATTTTGCATTTTCCATGGTTCATATTGTAAAGAATTCGTACGACGTACATATCCTTCTAATGGTCTGCGGGGTCTTGGTTTACATAGAAAACTGATAGAATGTCTGTAATTACGTTAAAGTAATTATCATAATGTAAAACACAAAAGAGATGGGAAGAAAACCAATCATGCAATTATGCAAAAGTAATCTACTTAAGCCTAGCTATTTCTAGCAATAAATTAATTTTAATTGTGGTTCAATTTGTGTGCTCCTCATATTTTCTAATTCTTAGAATTAGGGATGAAGAATTAATTGAACCAAGATTAAAATTAAACTACATTGGTAGAAACGGGCATTCATGCAAAAATCTAAGCTCTAGAAGGAGCTTTTTTTTTACGTTCTGCAAATCGTTTATCGTCCAGCGAGGTTATGAATTTCGGGGAGATTTGTAGCAATAATACCTTGAGAAAAATATTCTGTTGTCCATTTTGTTACTTGTAAATTTTTCTCCGTGTCTTTTATCGTTGTGCGAAACCTCCTTAAAGGCATTGACATCCCAACGAACAACCATTGCTGCAATGCGCGAATTTTCAAACTGTGCGATGCAGTGGTGCAACCTTGCAACCTTGTAACATTCCTGATTTTACGAAATGAATTTCTCAAGAATCACGTAAGAACCATAAACAAGAGTAGGTGCGTTTCACTTAACGCCCGCAACGCGCGTGGAATTATTTTATCCTTGTTGTTTATCCAATATTAAACAAGGACAAACGATGCTCGCGAGCGTTGCGAGTATTAAGTGGAATGCAGCCTAAATAGAGTGAGATACATAAAAATAATGCTTTAGGGCGACATTCATTCATTATATATAGAATATTAAAAATTATCTTGATTCTAATTGTAAGATCAATTTCTGATTATTTATCTATAATAATATCTGTCTTCCGTTTTTTTTTTCAGGAAATATGTGCTTTATTAAAATTTCTCGAATCATTCTGGAGATCGATTGTATCTTGTAAACGAGGTAAAAACTACCAACGTGAACAAATTCACTAGGAGTTGACTCAATTAACCAATGAAATAAATATTCTACTCCCCTCGAATTAAATCGAATATCCCGAGATATCACGATATTTCTTTCGCTGGGAGATTTATTTCCCGCCAAAACTTGTGGAACTATCATGAAGTGAAATGCCGCGTAAGTGCTCGTGTTGACAAACGTGTTTTACGAGAAGAATATAATGGACGATTCGCAGGGTAAGTACCACCGAATATAATTTTTGAGCATCACGCCGCGATAAGTGTGTTATTACATGTGCTATTACATGCACTCGTGGAAGTCTCTAAATCTTCAATCCGGATCTTTGCCATACCTTTTGTTTACATATATAAGTCTGTTTTTATTCCTGCACTAGACTGCACTACAAATCTTTTTTTCGTTGTCAAATATTTGCCCGAAACATACTTATTTTATTTTAAATTCTAAATATATATATTATTTCAGCTCATAGAAAATAGACTTCAAGTTTATAATGTATATTTTTGATAATTCAGTAGATGGTAATTGTATTCTTATAATTGAAAGAATAGTTCTTTTGGATGATCACATAGTAGGATGTATTGTATTATATCACACTCTCATCGTGTCATATATAATTGAAATAACTATTGCAGTTTTACTTTACTGAATAACATTTTAGCATCTACGTCTGGCAGGTCCAGGCGTCAGAAAATTGATAAAACTGGCAGGCTCTCGGCTCTGGAAAGATTGAAGGAAGCTCGAAGTGGTAGCAAGCGCAAGTATGAGGTTGAAGAGTTAGAAAATGTTTATGATGAAATAGATGAGAAAGAATACAGTAATACTGTTTTAAAACGCCAACGAGATGATTGGATAGTTGATGATGGTAAGTAAAAGTTTATACTACTTTATTAGTAAAAAATATTTTATCATCTAAACACATATTTAAACATATTATATTAAAAATGACATGCTTAAAATATATCTAAGTTTCTACTTCAAAGAAATATAAAAAGATATAGATATAAAAAATGTATATATTAAACTTAAATTAAAATATTGAAGGAGAAAGTGGGTATGTCGAAGATGGAAGGGAAATTTTTGATGATGATCTGGATGAAGAAAGCATTCGGGAAGCGAGAAAACAGAGGCATAGCATGGCTGGTCCTAGAAAAAGAAAAAAGGAAGAGAACAAGAAGAAAGGAGATATTCAAAGTATGATTAGGAATATGCCTTCTAAGAAAGATGTTAATGTAGTTCAGATTAAAGATGATGATATTTTGGGAGAATTGCTTAATGAAATTTCTACCAATAAAAAGACTACAAGTAGTCCTAAACCAGGAAGCAACAAAAATAAATTTTGTCATACAGTTCATTCTAACATTACGTAAGTTAATGAATATTCTATTTATACTATGTTATTTTATGTTTTATAAAACTTAATTATAGTTATGCATACACATTTATTATAGACAAACATATCAGGCCTTGTCTATGAACCAAAAAGAAGTTGATAAAATAATATCTGAAAAACCAGTGACAATCGTGTCAAATTTTGATAATATTGCACAAAGTGAAAGTCAGATAATTGAGGATGATGATGATATGACATTATTTGATGCACCACAGAAGAAGAGTACAAGTAAACCAGTAGAATTAAATAATTATACAAAAGTTGAAGAAAATTCAAAGCCAGAAGATCAAAGCACAAAAAAATCAATGGAATCTAATGAGCAAAATGCAAGTCAGATTATTGAGGAAGAAAATACCCCTATAGTGGATCTTAGTGAGTGTGTTGGAGATGTGAGTTGTCTAGTTTTATTATCTTATTTTATTATTTATATTGAAGTGAAGCTACATATAAAATATATATTGCAGTTATCCACAATAGATTTTGATGATGGAAGTATGGATACTGACTTTTCATCATCGATAAATAACGTTAAATCTCAAAAAATAGATGTAAAGACTCCTGAAATAGGTGTAAAGACTCCTCATAAAACTTCTGTCAAAAGTATGAAAATCGGTAAT